CCTTAGATCTCCCTCCAATCTTTATCCAAATATCATAATATAAAAATCAACTTTTAACCCAGCAAATTCAAAATCAAATAGAACCGTGGCACAATTATTTCTTCTTCTCCAGAGTTTAGCAAGCCTCTGTTATCAGACTCACATGCAGTCCGGCAAACAAAACAACTATCACAGAGTCTTAAACTGTCCAATAGTTGTCCTTGAAGCCCGTCTTATGATCTTTCCATTAACCCCTTGATGCTCCTCAGTCTAGTCGACCATGTCAGCTCCTTCTTTCTTCTCCAGAAAACAACCAGATTCTGTTATTAATAATTCAGAGTCCAGGAAAAGGCAAAGAGAAACATGTCCCAGCCAAACTGCATTCACGAAACTCAAGTCTCTTAAATCCTGTCCGATGGCATTAAAACAGTCTGGGATTCTTGTCCAGAAACATAAGATTTATTTTTCCGTCTCACTCTCTCGGCTTTGAAATCAGCCTGCTATATTAAGAGTTCACTCAGGGAGGCAAGTTAGTTTCGCTTTGAGGCAGACTGATAAGATACGCTCGCCGCTGGTTTTCTTCTTTCAGCCAAATATTTTCATTCTTATTTTCAACTTAATGGGGCTGTTTCATAAATAAAAGGCTTCAGCTTACTTAGTTGTTATATATTTTAAGCTTATATTGGTTGTTCTCCTCTCCCTCGATAAAGGGTTTCTCACGGCTCCGTGCCAAATATGGGACCCGCTCTGATCCGTGCTGGGGGATTTCTTCAGAGGGAAGAAGTCTGGGTTTGGATCCCTTTCTTCTCCTTCTGCTGTTCATCATATGCTTCAGAGAGACTTCTCCTAGACTCTCCTTCGATCCCCATTTCAAAAAGGGGATCCCGGACTGGATGGTTCCAGTTTTTCCAGAGTGAGCTCTTCTCTGGAGCTACTGGTAGCACCGCAACAAAGCCCCGCCTCAGTTATTCCTGGGATTCCTGTTGCAGCCCACAGATCAGTGAGTGCCTGTGCACACAGTCTACACAGGAGTGAATCTCAGATATTGATTCTAATTTAAGGAAAACCAACCATAATTTCTGGTGCTAGCACTTCCATTTTGTATCTGTGTAACCCCAAAGCACCCAATGATATGAAATACCAGCTAAGACCTTTGGGCTGCAATCCCATAGTCATTTCCTTGGGAACAGGCCCCACATAAATTAATGAGACTTACTTCTGAGTAAACAAGTCTAAGGATATTCTGTTACTGTAGATGCTACAGAAAAAGGGCCCTTATGCTAATAAGAGATAAACTTGCAATTTTCCGAAGCTCTGAAAAACTTAGCAGCAGAAGGGTATGTGAACCTTATTTGAGTTACTGAGAGCTCAGCTTTGAATTCTGGAACAGAAATGCCACCCTGTCAAAACATTAAAGAAACAAGTAAACCAGGTGGAGGAGGGGGAGAGGAACAAGAACAGCCAAGTGCTCAGAACAGCTTTGTGAGATCAGGCACCCTGGCAAAATGCACTGAGTTCTTTGCTCCCTTTTGCTGCTTGGTCATTAATAAGAAGTAACAAGTGGCACAGTAGGGCAACTGATTTAACTCTTGGCCCTCCAGGTGCGTGAAGTGACAAGGAAAATCATTGAAGTGTCTAATGAGGCTGTTACAGAAGACAATCTGTATTCTGAGATGATCACTGCATGGGGTCAGTACATAGATCACGACCTGGCGTTCACACCACAAAGCATCAGCCAACCTAACCTTGCAGGAGCAGCAGATTGTCAACTGACTTGTGAAAACCGAAGTCCATGTTTTCCAATACAGGTATTTAAATTTTTATTTTTATTTTATGGTAATATGAACATGAGGGTGTCAGTTGTGATGTTTGCAGACTCTTTGTGGGGTGTCAGATAAGGGCTTTCTAACAGAATCGAAACACTGTATGTTTGCATATCACTTTCATCTTGTGCTTGGTGCTTTCCTGGCCATGTAGCACAATTGATGAACATGGCCCCAGAGGTCTCACCTGGGCTGTTGGGTCTCAAGGGCTGCCTTTCCAATGAGTTCTGTTAGTTATCTGTGTTACAGTGCCACATGCCAATCCATGCACTTCATCCTATGTTTGCATAAAAGATTGTCTGTCCAGTGGTAATCTTGCCTTAGGAGAGAACTAGAGAAAACGGTGGCTCTCCATATGTTGTGGAAGTTCAGTTCCCATGAGCCCCAAACAGGGCAGCCAGTGATCAGAGATGGTGGGAATTACGATCTAGTTACATCTGAAATACCTTAAGAGAAGTGGTCCTTCTTACTGAAGATGGGATCCCTGATTTTTTCATCCATCTAACCAGAATTCCCCTGTCGGCAGATGACATCACTGTTACTGTAACAGTGGGAATTATGATCTAGTTACATCTGAAATGCCTTAAGAGAAGTGGTCCTTCTTACTGAAGATGGGATCCCTGATTTTTTCATCCATCTAACCAGAATTCCCCTGTCTGTGTCCCCTTGAAAAGTTGTTTCAGAGGGTTGGAGGAATTCCTGGAAGCAAGGGTGTGATCAGACAGGCATTTGCCCTGCTCTTTAGTCCACTTTGGGGGCTGGCTGGTTCACTCCTTTACCCAAAATTAGATGACGTAATTGCTAGAGTGAACCAACCCATCCCCAGGGTGTTCCTACCTGCATCTTTTTGGCTTCCTGTCAGGGGCCACTGTTTTGTGGTGTGGGTAGGCGAAGGAAAATACTGTATTGCTGTTGGCTTATTTTAATGCTAGTAAGGAAGGTATCAAAACACTGATAAGTAAGCCTCTGAATGAAATTCTCTTGTGCATCATAAGCCATGTAAGACTGACAACTTCATTAGGTAAAGGTAAAGGTTCCCCTTGACATTTTTAGTCCAGTTGTGTCCAACTCTAGGGGGGTGGTGCTCATCCCGTTTTCAAGCTGTAGAGCCAGCACTTGTCCGAAGACAGTTTCCTTTGCCACGTGGCCAATGTGACTAATCCAGCGCTTGTCTGAAGACAGTTTCCTTTGCCACATGGCCAACGTGACTAAGGAACGCGGTTATACCTTCCCACCGAGGTGGTACCTATTTATCTACTCGCATTTACATGCTTTCGAACTGCTAGGTTGGCGAGGAGCTAGGACAAAGCGATGGGAGCTCGCTCCGTTGCATGGGTTCGATCTTACGACTGCTGGTCTTCTGACCCTGCAGCACACAGAGGCTTCTGGAGTTTAACCCACAGCGCCACCACGTCCTGACAACTTCATTAGTTACGGTGATTTTTCAGAAAATTTTCTGACCCCACCTCCCCAAAGCTCTGAAAGCTCCCTTGGGATTCTTTTCATCATAGGAAAGCCATTGGGTGCCATGGAAGAAGGGGACAGCTTTAATTTTTGAACATTGCAGTTGCCAGGATTGTCAGTAAAAGCAACAGGATTTCAGCTTCAGTTCTTTGTCCTGTTAGTCAGTTTAAACTAAAAAAAGAGAAGTTGTTAACTTTGTTACGGCACATTGAGCAACAACACAACTCTAACAATACATTGTTTCACTATGCGTAGACTGTGATTGTCAAGGTATTAATTGAAATCCATTCACTCTTGAGTTTGCTGGTTTTAATTAGTAGTCTTCAGTGTTCAGGAGTAAATGTACATGAGGGGTATTGATAATATTTGTTATAAGGACCGGGCATGTTTAACATGCCCACTGCACTGTTCTGCAAAATTAAACGTAGGTGGCTTCAACATACTTTATTCAAAATGAAGAAGAATTAAGTATAAGTAATGGTCAGAAACAAATAAACAATCTAATCATAGGGAAAATCAGAGGTTTTATGAAAATCTGGGTTGAAAATCAGATAAGGAATTTGGGATGTATGGGAGAAAAGGATGAGCATTTCAGCTTTAGAGTTAGTGACATTCATTAGCCGATAAGGAATTTGGGATGTATGGGAGAAAAACTCACGTTGTTTTAAAAGACATGAAAAGGATGAACATTTCAGCTTTAGAGTAAGTGACATTCATTAAGCGAGAATCTGGCCAAGTACAGAAAGATACTTGGCATACTATGGTTGAAATCCAGCAGCAAGTTGCAGGTACAGTAGGCCCACTGAATCAGTGGGGATTTGGTGAGTCAATATCCATGTAAGTTCCATTGATTCAATGGATTTGCTCTAGTTGTGGCTTTCTACTGGATTTCAGGCTATATTTTATTTGCGCAGCAACAATGCACAACACCCCAATGGAGCTGCCATAACAGTAAAAAAAAAGACATTAGTGCAGCTGTTGCAAACTTTGATTCCTGACATGGTTACATTGAGAGCTGGATTGGAGTATTTGAAGTTGGTTTAAAATCACATGGTAGTCACATGTCCTTTATCTTGGTTTGTGCATCCTAATGAACAAGTTGTAATCTTGTTTTAAACTGTGCGGTGTATTGGAGCAGGGGACCACATGGGATTTAAAAAACGGTGTGTGGGTATGGAGTAGATTATTTTTGATACTTATCTTTCCAGCTGGCTGGCCCAGCCATGCAGATTCATCATTTCAGGCTGATCAGTCAGCCCACCTTTTGTCCTTCTCTTCTCTCCCTCATTCCTCTTGTCAATGGCTGTGCAGTTTGTCCATCCTGAGCGCTCATCTGCTCTGCACCCAGCCCCTGACAACTAGGCCCTGACACCCACCCAGCCCCCCTCTCATTCTGTGGAGGGGAAAGAGAGATGGTCACCTCTTCCCCCCAATGCTTAAATATCTATGGCCACAGACTACTACCGAGAATTCAGTATTCTTAGGCACATGGCTTTGTAGTGGCACCAAAACATGGATACGAGGCATGGATCCTCATTATTTCCTGTGATATTTAGACACAGTCCTTCCTAAACCACTGCTAGAGCATATATTCCCCCTGCACCCACAGACTACACCACAGAAATCATGGGTCCTTCAGCGTATGGTTTTGTAGTCATGAATCCCCATGATTTTTATATGTAGGACCATCCCCAAACCACATAAACATGGGCCCCCATGGATCCCCATGGTTTTTATATGTAAGATCATCCCCAAACTGTGAAAACTTGGGTCTCAAGCGTGGATCCCATGGATCCCCATGATTTTTCAACCTAGGATAATCCCAGACTACAAAAACATGGGTCCCTCCTACCCAGTTTCCTGGAGGAAGATTGACCCATGTACGTCATGTAGACACTTTTTTAAAAATGTATTAAACATGCTAGAACTGATCCAAATCTCATTTCAATCTGTAATGGAACCAAGCTCTCATACTCAGATTTTGACCAGTATTATGGTTGGTGTTTTGACCAACACAGGTGATCGGCAAAGTCAATCAGTGAAGTAATGAACACAGTTTAAATGTTATAAGAAAATCATGTTTGTGGCAATTATTAAAAAAACAAACAGGCCAAGAAATGCAGTGAAAGATCTCTTATGGAAGTGCAAAATGTGTAGACCAATATATACCGTGGAGTTTGTTGGACAAGGAGTTGGGGTACTCCCGTACAACAGAAGCCAGAACAAAGACGGCCCAGAGCAGCTTCCTTAAACTGAAGAACATAGTGTGCAAACAAAGCTTAGAATTGGCTCTGTATTCCTGATTCTTCCCAATGCTAGGCTACTCTAAATAGACAGAAGCATCTGAAACGTGGATTTCTCATACGATGCTCAGAGCTTCTTAAATCAAGAGGGTAAACAGTGAAGTAGTACTGAGTAGAATAAATGAAGACCAAGAAGTGATACAAACACATAAAATGCACAAAGTAGAGTACTGTTGTCACATAATGGGAAACTAGAAGTATAGATTGTTACAATAATTTATTCGAGGCAAAATAAATGGAGAATGAAGTCAAGGAAAGAGCACAACCTATTGCGTGAAGAATGTGGAAGACTACTTCGGATGCAACACAATGTCATTGTTTACCTTTGCAGCTTCAAATGTCAGTGTGGCTGTGATGGCACCCGATCTCTTTTAGGAGAGAATGAGAAGAAAAAAGAAGAATGAAAAATGAGAATGTCATTGCAAATGTTTTGCCTGTAACTTAGTATAAGTGGCGGACTCGTTGCCCCCAATTCTGCTGCATTTATGGGCTCTGTGCGCTGTCAAGTTAGCATTGACAGGAGAGAGGCCCGTGCAACAGAGAGAAGACAACCCCTCCCCCAAGCAACAGAAAATCTGCCATAAAACATTGATTTTCTGTTAGGCGTTGGAAGTGAGAAGTGACCACCAGCCTCCTGAGCTCTCCTCCTACTCAGTCATGTAATAGAGTTAAGGGGTCACAGGATTTTTTTTTTCAGTAACAGGGACATCGTCTGCCCCGCCCCCCGGATGCTTCCCTCTGAGCTTTGCTGCAAACTTCACAACAGCTGGCGGTTAAAATGGATTTTCTCAGGATCGATATGTCATTGTGAGTCATACAGTTGTAGTAAAAAATTATTTAGGGGTGGCTCAGTATTGAATGGGCAATTAAGTAAGTGATGTGAGAGCTGCAAAATGTTTTGTTGCTGGAGGAAAAACATATTTGATTTGGTTTGTTCATAGGGAACAAGATAACTGCTCTCACGCTGGACTTTCATTAGAGGGCATGGCTGTGGGGGACTGGCATGATGGGCAGCCATGTGCTTCAAAAGTTACCCCTGTGCCATCAAGCCCACCCAGCTGTTCAGGGCATGCGCTCTGTGCACTCTGTGAAAACGTGAGCTGGGCAGTGGGCTAACTGAAGGGGTGGTCATTGTGTCGTACAGGGCCTTTTTCGAAATACAGCTCCTATCAGCTGGATCCAGCATAGCCAGTAGTGAGGATTTAAAGAAATTACAGG